TCATAGTATCCTTTCTTTAGAGAGTCAGTGCAAGATGTCTTTTTTTGGCTAGTGATTCAATGTATGTAGGGCCAACCCTAGTCCCCACCGTCACAGTTCTATAAAACAATTATTCTTGCTCATCATCTCCTTACTGAGAAATACTACAACAGCCCTCCAAGACAGACTGATGGTCAACCCATACAATGAGGCCTAGATCTAGCAGAAGACAAGGCTTCATCTTAGTCTGTATTACTTGTCTCCCTTATTTCCCAGTTGCATGAGCTCTCCACAGCAGAAAACCATTGAGATTGTGCTCAACCTCCCAAGCAATGGATTTTTGTCTGGCTAGTGAGAAAGAGAGGGATTTTGCTCCTATAATGGGGTCCCCTACAACAGATGGGAAGGAGGGAGCAGTTGGGGCCCAGTCAGGAGATCACTGCACTGCCCTTCTTGGTGACCAGAAGAGAATGGGCGGTATTTATAACTCATGCAGCCCTGGAGAGGCCCCCTTTCATTGGGACCAGACAGCAGCCACCCATGAACTGGGTAAAAGAGCTGGACTGCCTTGACCCACTATGAGCATTATGCTAGTTGCCTTCTTCCTTGGGGGGAGGGGGCAGGAAGGAATTGTTCCCTCCCCACCACACTGGCAGAGGTGGGGTGGGGGGTTGTTGTTGTTTTTTCGCCTTTCCCACAGCAGTTCCAGGACCTGGTAGGATGGAGTAGATGGCTTAGATTATAATGTCACAAGACAAGATGCAAAAATTGTGGTGGATGTCCAGTGCAGGAACTTGGTATGGAAGGGATACGGTTATCGAATAAAATGGATTGGAAATGGAAGTAAAAAGAAAGCATCCCATAAGGGATCTGAGTAAGAAAGGGACTAAAATTCCTATGTCTCATGCAGCAGGGAGCCAATCCTCTGCCTGCTTTTTTAACTCCTTAAACCTCTTAAAAGGGGAGGGCGATGGGGTCTCACCAGCAGGATGACTGGCACCAGTTTGGAGATTCTGTGGAAAGGATTAGGAAAATGGTGGCCTGCATGGTACAATTTATTGCCAAGTATTACCAGATATTTTAAGTGCATAAAGTTGGCCTAATGAAACTACAGCTATTGCCCCTGACTTTCTTGCAGCATGGCCAGACAATGAATGATTCAGCGCTGGAATACATTGGACCCCAGCACCTAAATGTCTCTTTGGTCAGGGAATTGAATGACACAAAACATCCCAAAGCCCCTGCTTCATTTTTGAGGTGAGGAAGGGCTGAACTACAGCTCCCACAGGCAATTAGTGCTAGCTAGGAAGGGCTTAGAGTGGTCAGGACATCTACTGATGCAGCATCTCTTGAGGACCCTCCATTAGGTCCTAAGTTAAAACTGTCTTCCCTGAGCAGAACCCTCAAGGAAAACACTGGTTTTGCCCTTCAAGACTTCAACCTCCTCACACCCACCCCTGTTCAATCTCATCCCAGCTTGCTATCTGTACTGATCTTTCCTCAGCCATTCGTTCTGTTCTGGAACACTAAACACTATTCTGTATTAGTAACTAAGTTTCAACTTTTGCAATATTCTTTTTCCTTCCTGTCCTAAATTTGGTGGCTAGGGTTGCTATGTGCAACTTAAACAGCTGCCGCCTTCCATCCCAGAGGTGTCTCCATTTATCGTCTGTATAAGATCAAACTTGTAAAGGAATTTAATATCTTTGGGGATGAAAGGCAATGTATACATAAGGTATTCTTATTTCTCTTGTTCCTTCACATTAACTGCTTTTTATCTATAAAAGTTTTGGTTCTAGAGTGCAGGAGACAAGCTTCATCTCCATTACAATTTTAGTGGCAGTTAGCCTTGTGATATTACCCGTTGACTACTTGCAAAGTCATGATCATTTGGGAGGTATCCAGTTTAGTTACCTAAAATGTTAGGTGGCAAGTATGTTGCATTTACACAGTGTTTGTCATGTTCTTTTTGAGCAGCTGGGCCACATGAGGGATAACAGCCTAGTACTGCCTCTAGCTAATGTAGTTAGTTCTTTAACTCCAGTGGGAGACGTCTGTGCTATGTTGATTGGCCATGGATTCAGACCCTGCTGACAACCCACATTGTGGGGCTTCACACAAGCAGATAGCCCAGCTGCCTCAGTGGAAATTTGGAAGCATAATGCTAAATCTAGACTACTCTTATGCCAACACAAGAGGGTTTTCTCCAAACATTAGAGATCTCAGGGCATCTCTAACTTTGAACAATTAAGGCCAACTTGAAAGCAACCAATGGCATTCAACCATCTGATGCAAACAAAACCCATCCCAAGATATGCCCTAGCTCAGAGTAACATGCAACTAACTGCCTGCCATCTTGCTCTGCCCCACTGAGGTTTCTTACCACACTTAGTATTCCCTTTTCCTGCCTGTAACTCAAACAGCTGTCAGGCCCCATTAGGCATAACAGGATCCAGACAGATTCAAGATTAAGCAAGTTTTTAAAAATCCAATTGAGACTTTCTTACCTTGAGGGTGCAGCAGATATTACATTAGCCAGATTGCCCACACTTTCCATGTAAGAGCAATTATCACATATATTGAAAATAAGTGGGGGCTTCCTGGATTCCCCTCCCACCCCCCACAATCTTATTAGAACCAAGATCACCCCCCACCCTTCCAATTCCCCTTTGTGGGAAAAAAGGTGTTCCCATCTGCTCCTAGCATGATTTTATCTTGTTTGTCCGGAAGGGACTAGCCAGAGGGACAGTAATTCAATCACGTGGAGAGAGGGGAGCCGGGGTTTAAAAGCTCCTTGGTGGATCACCTGCAGCTTCTGCTCCAGGAGACATTTCCAGTCCCAAAGAAAAGAAGGACTAGTGTGGTAGACCTCAGGGAGAGCGATCCCTCCTTCATTACTTCCTCCAGCCCCCTGGCTGCCAGGACATAGGACAGAGACCTTCTCAGGGCCATCTGGTAAGTTTGCCCGCATGTTTGCTTCAGGGCACTGCAAGGTGGGGTTGGGAGTGCAGTTTCTTTATGTCTAGATTTGTGTTTATCCCAAGGTGCAGGATTTGTGTTTGTCCCAAGGTGCAGATGCTCCTAATTGAGGGGGAGGGGGCTGTGCACGTGCTGACGGTTTTTGGAGAATGTGTGTGTGTGTAGAGGAGGTGATTGTTTCTAAGGCAGCAGGTGTTGATAGGTTCTAGCTGTGGTGTGAAGTGTGTGTATGAAGGGCAGGGTGGTGGTTCCCAGGAATTCGTGTCTGGTGTGTGCACACGGGATGGAGCGTTCACAGAGTGCGGGCCATGGGGAGGTGCGTGGCGCTAGGCTGTACTGGCATGGAGTCAGTGTGCCCTATCTGTATAGCTAGTGTGTGTGCGTAGAGGGCAGTGTTAGCGTATGTAGGCTCTATAAAGGCTAGTTGTGTGTGTGTGCGAGCGAGCGCATATGATGGAGTCTTTACAGAGGAAGCCTGTGCAGTAAAGTACGACATGGGGCAGCATGCAGATTGGAAGCATGAGCATATGTCTGGGGGGTTGTGTCAGGAGGGGGGAAGGAGTTGTGTGTGTGTGATTTATTCAGCCATGCTGAAGGCAGGAAATATGAATATCTGGGTGCCATGTGTCCACAGTGTGCTCTAACTCTAGAGAGTTTCCACAAGCATAGAGTTGCTTTACCTAGATTTGGGGGTCGGAGCCAAGGCACAGCTAAGGCTCAGGAAGGCTGCCAGCTGTGTGATCTGGGATGAGGGATTTCCATTCCTGAACATTACCCCTCTCCTAACTGGGTTCCTTTCTCACCTTCTGAGCTCAAGGAGGCACCTGAAATGCCTTGTAAGGTCAAGGGATGGCACTGGTGGATTATAAATCAATTCCAAATGCAGGTGCAGGCCCCCCCTCACAAAGGCTAGAATAGTACTGGGGGCAGCATGCATGAAAGCAAGTGGGCCTGCGACCTGACCTGAAGTTAGGCCGGGGTGGTGGCTGCTTAGTAGGATCACTGGGGAAAAGGCAAAAAAGTTGGACCCTACCAGTGTTTGGCCGCTACCCCCAAATTCCACTGCCTAAAGGGAGACCAAGTCTAGCCACTGCTCTGGGGGGAAGGAATCATACCCACCCCCAGATCCTGATGACAACAGATCAGCTCTGGAGACCCCCCTACCCCCTGGATTCAGACAATTCTAGGCCCCTAGTTCTGTCCCCTAATTCTACTCTTCTTACACCAAAGCAGCAGGGCTGGAAATACCCTGATCCGGGGGTGCTGCGAGCCACTGAACCAAACTGCAACCCTGGTGTACCCTGGGAACCGCTTGAAGCCAGCACCCCTGGCCCCAGCACCTGTGCCCCGACCCGACCCAGCCAGTGCCGGGCCCGCACATTCTGCTGGCGAAACGGGGACCAAGTCTGCCGACCCCTGCTCCGGGGCGGGGGACCCGGCCGCCCAGGCACCCTGGCGCTACTGCCCCCCTCCAGCGCCGGCTCCCCCCGCGGCCCCCAATTGCCCTGCTCAACCCCGCGCCGCCAGAGCAGCGGAACCTGCCTCTGCGGCGGGCTCCGGCAGCCGAAAGTTGGCGGGCTCCAGCCGGGCAGCGGCCCGAGGCGGCGGTGGGGGGCGGCCGGGGCTGCGCCGGCGGAGGCGGAGACGCGGCGCTGCCTGCCTGCCCCTGGTGCGGGGCCGGGCTCTGCCCGGGCGGTAGGACCGGGCGCGGGGCGGCGCGGGCGTAGGGAGGTTTGACATTTTCAGGTGCAAGGGGAGTGGCTGGGGCTGTTCCCTATTTAGCCAGCGGGACGTGGGGAGCGGGGCAAGGAGCCGGCAGCGCCCCACGCCAGGGACCCCTCAGCGGAGGTGGGTGGCCTGGGCGCTGGTCCCGCGCCTCACCCAGGGGTGCCGCTCCTGGGCCCCGAGTTTGTGACTTGGGCTCCCCCCAGCACCCCGGAGCCGAGGCTCCGTCCCGTGCAGCCGCTCGGGATCCCCCCCTCTCCCGGCCCATGTGCCTGCCTTATTACGGCTCCCCCAGCACCGCCGGGCGGGTGCGCCCAGAGTCGCCTCCCGTGGAAAGGGCACTTCCGTTCTCCCCTTCTCCCCCCCGCCCAGCTCTCCTTCTGGGTGCTCAAGGCGAGGATGAACAAACCGCTCCAGCCCGAGCGCAGAGTGTCGGCGGTGGCCCCCGTGCAGGACGGCTCCGGCCAGCCGCCGCCGCCGCCCAAGAAGGACGTGGAGCTGCTGCTGGTGAAGGAGCAGAACGGGGTGCAATACACCAGCAGCAGCCTCCTGCCGGCCGCCTCCAGCCTTCAGTACAGCGCCGAGGGGCAGCCGGAGCGGGAGACCTGGGGCAAGAAGATCGATTTCCTTCTCTCGGTCATTGGATTCGCTGTGGACCTGGCCAATGTCTGGAGATTTCCCTACCTCTGCTACAAAAATGGAGGGGGTAAGAGCACAATTTTACTGGGTCTTTCCCATCCCCAGGGCTAGAGCTTTTGCAGACCGCAGTGCTGTATTCACTTCCCAGAGTTTCCAAAGCTTTGCTTTTTTTTTTTCTTTTGTACTGCAGACTGACTGAAATCATAGCTGCGCTGTGGTTCTCTAGCCTCTCCTTAATGATCTGCAGTCACTGTCACTGGTTAATAGCGACAGGGCACGAGGGCAGGGAGCATACCCTCATCCCCCTAGAAAGTCTGTTCCCTTCCTCGTAGCCGGCAGAGCATCAGCCCACAAGGTTCAGCGCTCCCTTGCAGTGTATTCCGCTGAAATCGATCAGTTCGGAATTACAGCCCCCACCTCCCGCAGAGTAAAAGTTTTGAACTGATGCTACGACTTTCGGCTGCCACTTTAGTCTTTTAGAGCTGGTTTTACGTCAGGCTGCTTGTTTTTGCAAAAGATGTGAGTGGAGTGTAAGGGAGGGGGGGGGGGGGATACCTACGAACAGTAAAAGAGCATCTGGAAAAGTGGTAGCTTGGCCAGTGAGAAAGTTTCTGAGGGAGACACCGCTTTTGTTTTGGATTTGATTTCCACGATCCAGTATACAGTTTGAGCCGGTTTTTGTTTTGTCTCCAGCGGGCAGAAGACTTGTGCAGAAGGGGTTTTCTATTTTTTGACATCACTGGCAAAAACAAACCAAAAAACCCCACCTTAATTATATTCAATTCAAACAGTCTAGCACATCTACAGCAAGACCTTAAACACAATGAGGCCTCTTTCATCCCTGTGAAATTTAAGGTGCTGCTAGTGGTGATGCCCCGGCTTCCCCTCCCCCCACACACTATGCAATGGAGTAACACTATCTGTGGGTGCCTACAAATCACACCTAGAACAGACCCCATCTACCAGATGGAAGACTGTTTGCCTGAATGTTCAATGCTCTGGGTAGAAGGATGGCTGGATGGAAAGCATGTACTGTGACACACAGCTATTTATGTCTTGGTGATGTGGTTGCTTGGTGATAAAGACTAACGGTTTCACATTCGTAGCATAAAAAGTCTTTCTTTCCTATGAGAAAATACATGGTGCGGGAAAATCCCACTCAGTGTAGATAGCTGAAACTGAGTTGTACGGTGGGTTATTGCACCTTCACTGTCTCTTCCTTAAAACTTAAGCTGATACCAGTAAAGGCTGGTACTTAAAAACTTAGCCTGCTTTAATACTACCCAATATTTGGAGGGGGATCAGGTAAACCATACTCCTGCTACCCATACAGATGTGTGCCAGCTGTACAGGAACTGAAAAAAATAGCCCCCAAATATACTTTGATTCAATCCAAGACAGCTCAGACACTCCACGATACTGTTGTGCCAGGCACTGCCCCTTTGTAAGGAAACAGGCAGGTGACCCTTGAGGTCTATTGCAGGTGTATCAACATCACTATCCATGCCATTCTACCTGTATGCACCATTCGGAGAGCTTTTGTTTACTTGACATTCAGTGAACAGATTGTAGTTTATTTTCAGGGAGAGAGAGGCATAGTCCCTCTATTTTGCTGTAGAGTAACAGAAAGAAGTAAATTCTACAATGGTCAAACTCACTGCATTTACCCCATGATTCTGAGTCACTTCCACTCAGATTCTTCCCCGTTCCCTGAGTAGCCTGCTACTAGTTCAGGCATTTGGCGGGGTGGGGTTGGGGGGGCAGGATTCTGCATCTTCCTGTGTGTTCATTCTAACTTCAGCCAGGGCAATTTAGACACCGCTAGCACGATTTTCTGGAAAAAAGTGGGAGATGGCAGCTGGTATGTGCCTAGCTTTTTAGTGGATTCTGTCTCTTGGACCAAAAACTCTCACATGACCCTCTGATTTAGTCTTTGGGTTATATAATGTTAAGAAGTCAACCTCACTGTTGAACTCTCTGGAAATATGCATGGATGACAGATAGAGCTAACGTAAGAGCACCCTGCGATCAGCCACTCGGAAGCTTTCACTCTTCCCACCAGCAGGAAAGTGAAATTAGGGTTATTGCTGAGAGGCCCCCCAGTGCTAACAGATTCTTCAGAAACTCAGAGAAGCACTGCTCATTGGTCTGGAGACTGTAAACACTATTTTGCTGTCTCTGCTCCTCCACCTTCCTCCCTCACAGTCAGCCTTCCCTTTCCCCTTAACACATTCTAAGCAGGACAGCTCCTTCTGGCCCTGGAGCAGGTTTGTTTTTGTTGAGGAGGAAAGGATGGGTTGTCATTAATGCTCAGGAGTGTCAGCTTCTGAGAGGAGGGCAGTCACTTAGCCAGGGCTTTTCTTTAAGAGCTGTTCTCAGCATGGAAGATAACCAGGGAAGGGCTGCCTCAGAGCCTTGGTTAAACTGCAGGGCATAATCACAACTAGATATTGAACGTGGCTTGTCCGGATCTTAGCCCAGGGTCAGCAGTGTGTCACCTAATTGTGTTCAGACATGGCACCGTTTCCTAGTACAGCTCAGGCCTGCGGAGTGGGAAACAGAACAACAGAGTGGTCTTGGCTACTACCTTCTATCAAGTCTCACTCAACCACAGTTATCTTTCTGGTATCTGAATGCTTTTCCATCCACCACCACCATGTTTGATATAGGCATTGGGCTTGCTTGGTTAGGAAGTAGAAGTCTCTGCCTCAGTGAGCTGGGCAGAGGAGACTAAGGGTGGGTGAACCTGCTTTAGGTAGTTTCAAGCCAGCTCAATACTTCGCCGGGGTGAAGTTTGGCTACACATTTGGACATAGAAGGGTTCTTGTTCTACAGGTGTTTTCCCTGCAGTAGCAGAGGTGCAACTCAATGCAGAGAAGAGGAATGCCTTCTGGGTTTCACTCCCTTCTCGCCATCCCAGAGAACCACAGGTGTTCTCAAAGGCTCGATTTGCAAATACAGCAGCGCCTGTGAAAGTTGCTATTGTAGGAGCAAAACGATGGCAACACTGCTTTTCTCTCACTGCTGCGGAGGAGAATGCCACCAGCATTTAGTGAGTTTTGCTGACTCAAATTTAGTGAAGAGTTTGAGCAAGGAGCATATAACTGCTGGCTTACACATCCATTCAGGAGATGTCACAGGCAGAGACACAAAAAATGTGATTTGAAAAGCAACAAAAATAGGAAGTGATACAGCGATCAAAGTAGCTTTTGGTTTGGCTGCTCAGTTAGCCAGAGGTGCAGTATCCACTTGAATTCCTGGTGTTGGCGAACACACCCATTGAATAAATGTCCAGAAACTTAAAAAAGGAATTAAAAAAAACCCCATTAATGGTTTCTGTTCTCCTTTTGGTGTTTATAAGGGTCTTCTTAAAGGATCTGACTGCACAAGAGAAAGAGGGAAACTTTCAATCTACAGCGTGCTGAGATCTATGAAGTATACAAACGAAGAGCTAGAGGACATTCTAGCGCTTGTAGACAAATGTGACTAAGGCTGATGTTCCTATAGTCGATTGCTGCGAGGGAGTGGCCTGCAACCAGTTCTCTCAAATGCTAAGACCGAACTAACCGCTCTGTTTTCCTTCTTACGGCTATCTGTTATTTTTGAATTCAGAGTACCATGTGATATATTGGTGAACAGAATTATATTCCCATTCCAAAATCTATAATCAATAAGGCAATATTAGGGGCTCACTGCAAACAGGAACATCCAAGCGCACGAAAGATCCTTCCTGAAAGCGTTATGTGGAAGAAAATCCCCCTATTACAATAGGAAGGGGGGATGCTGTGTGAGTGCTGTCTGGGTTCCTGTGTTACCCTGAGTAGGTTAGACATTGTCAATGAAGACACAACGCACTAGAGCTTGTAAAGATTAAGTTGTTCATGATGTCAAAGTGAGAGCACTTGTAGGAAGCAACTTGCTTTTTACAGGAGGGAAGTCTGAATACACACTGGACTCACCTCATTCAAAGCTGAACGTTAACAAGGATGTGTACGTATATACATACCCAGCTCTTATTAGTCAAATCCTTGAGTTCCTTTGTCAGGCAAACTTCAGGGGCTTTCCTGTGTAAGAACTGGAGATATGGCCCTTTGGGGATAGAACCTAAAATTCCACACAAAGGCAATTTCCATTAGCTTGAATGGGAATAGCGCACATGCAAGGAGTGCGGGGTCGTACCATTGGTTACTAGTTTGTCACAATGTGCAAGTTCATAAACTGCATCACCGCTGTTAAAAATAAATTAAAAAATCTTTGTTTTTACCAGCTCCCAATAAAATAACAACAACAAAGAGTAAGAAGGACCCAGTAGCATTAGACTGTTAAACAAACAGCTAGAAATATCTGTTTTTGGCATATCTTGTGGAATTACTCCAATGGGAGTTCTGCACATAGAGGATAGAATGTAACCCTGCCTGAGCAACTGTAGCTCTCAAAAATATCCTTCAACAACTCATTAAAAAGCAAAGCAAAACAAAAAAAAAAAAAACTTTAGCGAGATTTAAAAAGTTTGAGTGTTCATTTTTATTTTGCTTATCTTGCAGGTAAAGACAGCATTCAATGTCTGCCAAAGTTACAGTTTGAAACAGGTCAAAGATTTATTTAAGAGGAAACTTTTAGTTCAAATACACTGGTCCTGATCCAGTTCTCAGTCCTGCACTCAGTGAAATCAATAAGGCCACTGTATCTTCTAAACTAATTTACTCTGTGACAGCAAAAACTACATACAGATACTGCAGCTTCTGGCAGACAGACAAAATGATACTCTAGAGCTGGGAGGTCCTTGAATGTTTCCACAATAGTTTGGGCTATCAGCTGTTATTGTGAATTATTTGTACTTCAGTAGTCTTCACAACACAAAAGAAAACTACAGCTTCCAGTAGGTAAATTGTGAAATGCCTTGCTATCAAGTATGCCAGTTTTCACTGATTTTTCATACTCTCATAAATTCTTAAGCCTTATTAGAACTAACTTCTCATATAAACCTCTGGCAAGAGGTTTTTTTTAAAGCAGTTCCTGGCTTTATTTGTGTATCTATGGGTCTGATCACCCCTTCCTTGATCAGGC